TAACTATATTACGACTTAAATAATAGTTGACCAATTTCGAAGAAATATAAAATTAATATAGAGAAAAGAAGAGACAAGTAGTTTGGGATGCTAATCAAAGTTAGACTCTGAAGGAGGGAAAGCAATTTATATGATGGTTTGGATGAGCAAAAATTGACTAGTGACCTCACAATGGTCGAATGCATTAATGATTAGAGGCAATGTTCAAGATGATAAGATGAAGAATAATCTTGATTAGTTGTTTAGTAAATGCCAGGTTGATAAATTGAGCAATATTTCTATGAAAGAAGAAGTTAATTAAGATTATATGGGAATAATTCAAAGAACCGAAGTTAAAATTCTTTGAAATAAATGAAGCTACATAAATAAATTGGCCTTAATGAAGTCCTACTAGGTTTGAATATGTTTAAGGTAGATTTGAATATTTGATATCCGTTGACTCATAGACCATTTTGGCAAAAACTAGAAGATAATTAGATTATCAAATGATTGGAGGAAAAACACATTGATACCAGTCTATACGTGCAAGAGAGTGATAGAGATATAGAGTAGAAATGAGGCATATTCAAATATCAATGAACTGGTTTGAATGAGTGCTGAATAACAAAAGTGGCCCATCTTTTAAGACAACGTATCATCTCAAGGAAAATCATCGGATTAGGAATAAAAATTTACACAATTTTATAGACTTAAAAAAGCTTATGATAAAGCACCAGGAGAGGTATTTTAACTGGTTACGACTTGCAACAAAAAGGGATGTATCAGCAAAGTATATCTACATAATCAATTATATCTATCAGAGTGCTACGAGCCTACGCCAAATGTTAGAACATATATAGAGGCGATAAGATGTTTTCTATGAATAATGGGTTACTTCAAGGAATATCACTCAGATTATTCACATTTACAATTGTTATGAATGATTTAATTAGAAAAATCCAAGAAATAGTACCGTGGTATCTCTTGTTGCGGATAATTTCCTGCCGATAATTTAAGTGAATCTAAGGAAGGACTAAGTGCTAAGTTGATGAACTGATTCTCAAGAATTTGCATCAAAATTTAAAGAAATATTTAATACTCCGTATGTTATAGTGTTATACATATTGTTTACTACCTCCGTCCCTTTTATATTGGGACGGAAGAGGGTGGGTCGATTTTTAAGAAAAGTGGGTTTGTGTGGTTGATATTAATTGATAAAGTAAGAATAAAGTAAGAATGATTTAGAATCACACAAATTTTACCGAATATGGTATGGGACAATTTAAAGGGGACATCCCGAAAAGGTAAAACGGGACAATATAAAGGGGACGGAGGGAGTACTATTCAGGGGATGAACGGGTTATATTGTAGAAAATCTAATTAGAGATTACCCACCCTGATAAGTCATTTATTATTTACTATGTACCATTTAACCTAGTGCTCTCTGATTATAATGCAAGAGAGATACGCATACCATTCTCTCATACATAGATATCACTCTTTCACCACTGCAATTTTGCATGCTAAGGTCCTGCCTTATGGATCTTGTTCTATCAAACAGGAAGTCATGCAGCACTTCAAAAGGATGCTTCGTAGATTGCAATTTAAATAGATACTCTAGAGTTTCCTCCAATACTGGTAGGGGACGCAAATCAGAACTTTTTGCATACTTTGTAGATATAGTCCTGCAGAACTACAATAAAATAAATATAATTAATGTGCAAGAAAAGCCTGACACTAATACTCAAAGTTGACATCTAGAATCAGAATTTAACACTTAGATGAGACCAACAATCAATTTTTTATAGTCCTTGCACTACCATTATTATTACAAACATAAGAAACAAAAATATGTTTAATACTCCGTATTTCACTAAGTAGACCGAGAGAAAATGCAACTACTGGGCGCACATCAATACATTGAGTTCCGTTTTAGTAAAAACAAACAAGCATTTAAATCCAGGCCCCATGATGATGCCTATTCATTTTGCAATATCAATTTTGCAACGGAATATAATTACTATAGCAACTATCTAAGCTAGTCCCCAATCACCATCAAACTATTTTCCATCCAACAACAACAATATCCAAGCCTTAATCCCAAAAGAGTTTGAGGTCGGCTAACATGAATCGACATGTGACATTGGAGTTAAAATAATAAATAGCAATAATAAACAATAATAAATAGAGATAAAGGGAGACAAACACAGAAATCCTCCAGGCGTATACTCTCCATCCACTTTGATCTCACTATTTTCCATCCAAGTGGGGAAAAAATTGTGATGAATGAAGTTGATGGTTTTGGATGTAATCTCATTATTCTTTAGGGGTTAAACTTTGCCACTGACTCTATGGCTCTATACGTTTCATACAAACATAATTAGGAATTTGGGATTAAGGTGATCATGAAGACCACAGACTAATCAATTACAAGATTCTATTATTACTATAAACTATCGCTTCATGAATAAAGATCTTACCTTTTTAACTGCAAGACTAGGAGATGATTTGCTTGGATCACCATCCAGCCTCTCAAAAACAGCTAAATCCCGCAGCCTCTCTCGATTTTCCCTCTCTTCAACTGCAAATCCATGCTACTTAGAGAACAAATAGAGAACAAGCGTATCATGGACCCGGATACAGGAAATGCAATAATCGGTTACCAGGGCACATAAACGGGCAGGCTCCAACTAAGGAGGGAAGATTGAGAACGCCTTCTTCGTCAAAATTGGCATCTTTGTCGCCTTTACAACAGATGCTTAAATTGGGGTTGTTGTTCTTCAGTTGGTTATGTGGGTATTCTTGAATTGGAATGTGGGAGGCTGAAGGCTTGACATTCTTGAGTGAATTGGACTGGAAATTGACAGGCAGAAGAGCTGGTGAAGATGAAGCGGCTCTTCGGGTTGTGAATCTGGGTTGAGACCGACCCGCCATTGAAGGGGCTGTTTGGTTTTGGAGGGAACACCTGGCTGTTTATGTCTACTGATTAAGAATGATAGAAGTATAGAACCATTCTATTTCCTTTAGATGAGGTTGTCGTATCATGTCTAGAGTGTTATTACCAAATAGGGAGTAACTGCCCTATCTTTTTTTATACGGGCATTTGTGTTTACTTTTTTTTATGTTGAAAGAAGTGAGTTAAATTATGATAACACGTTACAAAATGATAATAAGTTTTCTGTTCGCCGTCCATCATCATAGAATTATATTTAGAATCAATCACTTTCCCAGAAGATAGAAGCAATGTGATTTGTTGATCCCGCTTTAGACTTAACCGAGTCAATGACAGACAAATCAGACTCCTCATCATCTGCCCTAGGTTCTAGATTTTTTTCCCCAGAAAAACATAGGACAACCAAAACCCAGAGCAAAGATCCAAATAAAAACGAAACATGAAGAAAACTAAACAAACAAAGTAAATTTCTTGAACCCTAGCACATTGTTCAACCCCTGGCGGGGGTTCAGGAGAAAGTCGGACCATCGCTATGATTGTCTACGCACCAAAGCGGTTTTCCTCCGACTCGGTCGCATCTTCTTCATCATTATCAATCACCAGTTCATACTATTCTTCACCAATGTCCGAACCAAGGGCCTTCGACTGTCGTTGGCCTTCTTCCCGTGACGCCTATCCTGCTTCCTCTCTGGACCGTCGCAGGGCTTCTTCCATCGACGAGCAGACGTACGCAGTGAAGATTTGATGATGTTTGGAGCTTTCATTAGTTATTTTATTTTTTATAGTCTTATTTTCGCGTTATGTTTGTTTGTGTTGCTCTGTTTTTTGTTGGCGTCTTTAGTTTTAGTTCTTCAATAATTATTGGCAATTCTGTTAGCTATTATGTCGTTAGAAGGATCTTTATGACCGATCAGTTATTGTTGTATCAAGTCCGTTTGGTGATTAGCGATTCATATTGCTCTTTTAGGTGTAATCGTGTATATGTCTAGTCATATGACAAATAGTGATAGTTAGTTACGGGTAGTTGTTGTCAATGTTGGTCTCTTTGAGTTTGGTGTAACGATCGCAATCCTAATGATATTAATATATAAACAGGTTTTACTTAAAAAAACTATCATGAAAGCTTGATTTTTTACAAAGAACTAAGTAGTAGTTAAAAGCATATAGGGGTGAATAAGCAATAATACAAAAACAAAATAACTAGTAAGTGATACGAGAGTGGTTAATTATTCATCTCCGAAATGAGTCATCATATGTAGGAATGGGCAAGAACCTCGATTCCGTTGTCTCATTCGAGATATCCTAGAATCGTACTGTGTTGTCCCGTTTGGTTTGACACACATTCTTTTTGTCCCTCACCGGTCCCAGGTCCCATATCGATATTAATATGGGTCATGATTGAAACATTGGAAGGTTATCTTGATCTATGCGAACAGTTTGTAATGAGCAGTTTGTAATAGTATATTTTTAGTTTTTCAATTCCATTTTTTAAACTAAAAACAATACCCTAAAATAAATATTTACTAACATATATACTCTATATATATGTGTTTTAGTATCTTACAAATAGAAGACATAATTTGAATAAATAATTAATTCATTTTTTCTTTGTTTTATATTTTAATTTCAAATTTTACTATACCTAATTAACTAAAATCTAATAGCTTTTCAAGTTTTGTAAATAGATAACTTGTGATACATCAATTTTAAAATGTTAATGCATTATACTTTAGAAATTGATGTATAATTTCTAAAGTAGTTCTGATGATAATTAAAATATATTAGCGTATAATACAATTTCTAAGACAAATAAGATACTAGTATAAAGGTCAAAGGGACATCATAAAAACAAAGTTTAAATATGTGTTTAGTCCCTGCAAATATTGCACATTTTGTTTTACATCCCTGCAAAATTATTTTTTTGTTTTTCGTCCCTCGATGATAAATAGTATTTTATTGTATTTTTTGAAGGTTTTTAATATATATTTTTAAAATATGAATACTTAGTTTTAAATTATTTTAACTCTCATACTAGCCTCAAAAAATTATAAAAGGATAAATTTAAATATTTCTACTAGATTTATATAATTGACAATAATTTTTGTTGTAAGTAGAGTAGTTTCGGAACTGGAGATGAACTAAAAACAAAATAGTGCATATTGCAAGGATGAAAAACAAGAAAAAAATATTTTGCAAGGACCTAAAACAAAGTATGTTATATATTAGCGGCTAGCTAGATATATAAAAGCTAGATATTTCTGGTATGTCCATGGTGATGGCCTCCAAGAGGGTATGCCGGTGCGGCTGTGCCGGTGGGAGGAACAACTGTTCCGATGGCTGGTCCGTGGTGGCCTTCGCCTCCGCCATGGGTAAGGTGTGGCGTTACTGCGGCGGCAGGAAGATGAGCTTGCTTGGCTTGCAGTTTTTCAGCGGCGTGATGCGCCTTGGCTTCGTGAAGCTTCATCTTGGCTTCAGCTTCCTTTGATTTTCTCCTCTCCTCCGCTATCTCTTTCTCCTCTTTACTTCTCGCCCTTGCCTTCTCAACCTATCCAACCACAATTGCATTAATCAATTGTCCTACTTTAATTACTTCCGTATTTCTACAAATTACTTGGACGGTTATGAGATGAAGGGAGTTCATATCTTGTGAAAGTTATGATTCTCATTTTCATGCTTGCCAACTCTCGACTTGGACGGTTATATTTAATCCTCTATGAGTAAAAATAAATAAATAATGATCAGATTATGAAAATTTAAGACAACTCTACAATATTTTTCAAAAAATAACCCGCATACATTATAAATAAATTAAAATGAAGTCAAAGGTATCACTATATGTGAATAGTGTAAAGTTTTCCATGATGCAATTAAAAAGAAATTGATGATAGTGTATGAACAAATAATTGCAAAACTTTCCTATAAAAGCGTGTTAAAATTTATCTTCATTGATCCAAAAACTAAATGATAGAGAATATTAAACATAAATAAATTCAACACAAAGGACCACTACCACTACGTTCTCAACAAGACCCCGTGATTTAGAAACACCTAATAACACATTACACATGAACTTAATAAAAATGGCTACCAACAACAAATTTTAAAATGTAAATATTAGTGTAATGATGACCAAATAAAGTTTATTGTCATTGACTGACAAAGTCAAACATGACTAATTAAAAAGGGATGACCCAATATTTCTTATACTTCGTATATGAGATGGAAGGTTAATGAAAAAAAGGGAATGAATATAATTAAGATTAATAAGAAATGCCTTTTCATCAGTTTTGGCTGCAAAAATTTCAAGGTGTTGTTTGGCAGTAGAAGCTGCGTTGCTAACTTTCTGCTTTGCGGATTCCATCTTGAAGTGGTCGATCGATCAGTAAGTAAAACTCCTGTGTATATAACGCAATTCAGATTAACTAATTAATTAATGTATAAATAGGTAGAGATTATCAACATAATACTTATATAGAGATTTAGAGAGGGAGGGGATCGGATTGGGCGGCTTGTAAAGGTAATTGAAAGGCGGTGGAAACCGGATCAGCCCGAACCCGCTATGCCTGTCCACTATGAGAATGCCACGTTTTCAGCTACGTGTCGTTCATGCAGCTACCCAACGTAGCCGCTTACCGTACTTGACCGACATGTTATAAATTGTTGTAGTTTATGTTTTAGAACCGATCGTTGTAATTTGTAAGCTATCTCCATAATAATATGTAATCACTATCAAATTTGTAAGTTACTCATATTTCCAAATAAAAATATAACAATTTTATTTTAGAATTTCATAACGATTTTACTCCTATTTAATTATCCCTCAAATTTTGATAGAGTAATTGGTTTCGATTCTAATTGTATATCTCACTTCTCTATAAATTTCAGGCACATTGTCTTTGTTTTCTTATTCACCTATCATTTTGCTTTTAATTTTAAAAAAAGTGCTTTAAATATGAGTAGAACATAAACAAATTTCAAAAAACAAGTCTATGTTCTATGTCTAAAATAAAACTTATTTATCCATATGTAGAGATTAAAATAAAATAAAGAAGTACCTATGAATAACTTGTGAAATTGCCTCTCCCATCTTTCTCTCTCTAGGGTGGGTTTCCACCGCTAGGGTTTTCCCCCGTTATCGTTTGTAACGAGGAGCGTTCGCCACAGATGGGCTTATGAGTATAAAGTTTTTCCTTCTGCCATCAATTGTGCGGCTCTTTTTCTTCCTTTGCTTTGGCAAGATTAAACGGGGGGAGATTATGTTTGCATTGGTCTATGTAAATCGAAGGTTGTGCAGGGACGGAACATGAATGCTTGTTCTCCGGCGACCAAAGATCATGGACGAAGTGTGGGGCCAGAGGCTGGAACATTCGAGGATGAATAAGAGGCAAGGTGAGGAAGTATCTACAGTATTGCTGGATCGCACCCTCCTGAACCGCCGCCATGGAGTGGAGGAGAGTCTAGAGTTTGGAAACATCTTTTTAATTTTATCTTTTGCTTACCATTTATTTTTCTTGATCAGACTGCTTATTTTTTTGTTGGTTACCTTTATTATTATAAGACTATTGCATTATGATTGGATGATGGAAGGTCTGCTTTAACCGTCGTTGGCTCATTTATGCTCATTATAGAATCGGCGAGTTATATTGTTTTTTTCTTTTAATTTTAAGGTGATTGACTCTAAGTTTGGTTCGAAGTTTGGCAGTTGTTTGTCGTCCTTTTTTTGTTTAACTCCCTATCTGAATGCGAATGTTGTGATATCAATTTAATCCACCTTCTTCCAAAAAAGGAGATCAAAATAGTAAAACTTCTCTAAATCGAAGTGAGTGAGTACTATTTCATAAAAAAAATAACGAAATTTGAAGAATATTTAACTCATATTTACAAAATTTTCCCTACACCTTATTTTGTTACTTTATTAAGCGTCATTCAAAGTTTCGGTAAAAATTTGGGGAGCAACGGGAGCATATACAACTCAGTGACATTTCACTGGCAGAACGTAACTATTTCAACCATAGTTATACTACTGTTGCTAGGGGTGGACCGGACCCGATTCAGTTCCGGTTTGGGCCTAGGCCCAACCGGGCCCGGATGGTTTTGGGTAAGGCCCGGAACCGGCTCAGGGTCTACCGATTCCGGTTCAATTTGTTTTTTTTGTTTTCTTATTTATTTCAACCCCCAACCCCCCCCCCCCCCCATCCCACCAAACCCTCCAAAGCACCCAACCTAGCACACCTAAATCCAGCCCAAACCCCAAAAACCCTAAAAAAAGGCCCGAACCGGGCCCGGATCGGCCGGGCCAGTTCACCTTTTTCAGGACCCGGAACCGGTTACCCCCTCGGGCCGGACCTAGGCCCGGAACCAGTTTCCCGGGCCGGGTAAAAACAGTACCGGTCCAGGCCGGTTGGCCCGGAACCGGTCCACCCCTAACTCTTGCCTTCACTTTGCCACCAATCACACGGTACTGGTAGCAGAGCTCTAACACTCTAACAGGTTTCATGGTGATTGTTGGCAAATTTCAGGTGGCAGCATATGAGAAATTGATGTCAAAAACGACGGAAAGAGAAGGGAGATTATAACAAATTTAGAGCTAGACTTTATACTGTTTATAGACGGCCAAGACTCAATAAAGGCAAACTTTCCATCTCCTCTTGTGAACACACTAAATTAAAAGGCGCTAATGTAAAAAACATGCCATAAGCTTGGAGATGAAATGAGGCTTTGACCTCAGTTGAGAGACATGATATGATGATAATCTGATATATACAACAATTTGTGTTATGGGTAGACAAACCCAAGGCAAATTTAGTTAGCCTTCTTTTACAATATAAAGGAAGTCTAACTCAGTAACTCTCCTTCCAGTAACTTTGACGATCCAAGAATGGATTGCTGTATTAGGTCATGTAGTTTCAGATGGTGATTTGAGATTTTCTTGGTCATCATTGTGGTTTTCATATACAACAGCAAGGTAAAGATCGAGGTGTTTCGGGGTGAGGCCCGGGAACCTGTGATACTTGGTTGAACAGGACGGATCCATTTTAACAAAAGGCCACCTCATGGCTTCTGCAGCTTCACATTCTTCCCATCCATCTCCAATGACACAAAACTGCACATTCTGTTGGACACTAAACCGCTCCTTTATCCATTTAAAGCATTGAATCTTCCCCGCATCCCATGAACTGTAGACTGATAAATGGAATTAATTATGCAGACGAAAAAGTCATTTTTTCATATGCGCTAGTAGTAGTGTTGCATAATTAAAACCTACATTGCAGATTGCATGACCATTATTAGACGTAAAATGACCATTATTAGACCATTAAAACCTAAATGTAGTCCTGGTTGGTTGGGAAATTACATGTTTGGTGCCGTAAGCAGAATGATCCAGTACCTTAAGGACCATTCTCATATATGGTTTTGCTTATTTCTGCACAATTCAAAGGCTCTGGGACGACACCAGATTTCATTGTGTTCCCTAAGTTAGTCCTTTTGCATAAAAACGTTTTAATTTGATTTTTTTTTATTATTGCTGCATAAAATAACGCAAGTACAAAAACTCAGAGGTACAAAATTTGCCTATTTGGGCATTTAAATGCCCGTATAAACACTGTTTTCAATAAAACTATCAAATAAGGGAATACATGATCTGTAGGCGATGAAATGCAGCGACATTTTGAGTTAGTTTGACCTGAAGGCCAAATTTTTTTTTGGGGGGGGGGGGGGGTTACAGATATGACTAAAGACTCAGGTATAAGGTCATTTTAAGAAAGCAACCTAAAAGATACGGGCCTACATTTGTGCCCCCCCGAGGCGATAAAACAGAAACTAGAGTTCCACTATCAATGTAAGTATATAACCGTTGTTTACTAAAACTATAAATCCTTTATATTAGCTACAATACTTAACCAGACTTATACGGCGGAACAAGGAGGTTTGACTTGGTGCACATTGTGATTCAATGCACATGGTAGGCCACTTTGAAGCACGAAAATTTGGGGAGGGGGATTTGAGGTTTGGGAAGGCTAATTGGCTAAGTATTCCCTTGAGATCTAAAGTCTCATATCTCAAGATAAAGTTACAAAGATAAAAATGTGAAATGAAATTGTAAAAGGTTTGAATGAATTTATACAGATACAAATAGCAACTGTCTAGAGATAAAAGTTCTATAAGAGGAACTAACCGTTATGACAAGGAATCATATCACCCAGTCGAAAGAGTAGGCATTTAACCAAGCTCGGTATGAGTGCCCCAGAAGTCACTAGGACATTAACATGTTGGTATTTAGAACCCTGTCCATTATTAGCACCAACAGCCGAGCAGTCACCGGGAGTCAGCTCAGCATTACCACTAGCACATTGTTCCAAGCAAGCCCGAGCTAAAAAGCAAAACACACATACATAGGATATTAAAAATCATGGCTCTGTGTTTTTTATACGGAGTATGTATTAACCAAAGAATACCCAAATTCCTGTCTACAAAACAAGAAAACATATATGAAGTATAAGAAATTCATTTCGGGAAGAGCAGGAAATAAGTATTGTCAGCTCTCCAATGTTAAGTTGCCATCTGCAAGATCTAAAGTGGAGAATGCCAATCATAATAGAAATGAAATTACATATTTACATTATCTCCGTGGTTTCAGTGAGAGCTCTGGTGTGTGTTTGGGTCTTTGGGATGATGGTTTTCAAAGAAATGTTTCCAATTTAATAGAGCATATATGAAGGTCTCTTAAGAAAAGTTATGTTCTACATAACCAGGATAGTATTTACCCGATGAAAGCCATCTATCTGTATAAGTATCGGTTTCTTCATAAAGATCTTCCCAACTTTTTCTCATATCCTCGTTAAGAATGGTATGCAACCCCTGCAAACAAATAATTTAAGACGAAGGGAGCACTAAAACATTACGTATGGCCCTAAATATCCCAAAGGTACCTTTGTGTACTTTTCTGTTATAGTACGATGCCTGTATGCTAATCTCCTTTTATTTACATCATCAACTGGAGGACCGAATCCATCATTGTTGAAATCATAATCAGTGAGATCCCGACCATCATCATAATGGCTCAAAATATCTAGGTAAGGCATGTTGAAATTCTCGATCTGAAAATGCATAAAGTATTGTACAAGGATTAATGGACATAAAAAAACCGAGAAAATCATGAAAAACTAGTATGAAGATTTTAAAGGCCACATTTTTTGGAAAACAGAAAACAAATAGAGAAGTTGGGACACACTTGCTCATAGAAGAAATGGTCATCAGATATTTGAAGAACGTGATTCTCCCAAGACTTCCCAATGCTAACACCCTCCACCCAATTCTTTGAACCGTTGAAGGACTCCGCAAATTGCTTATTTAGCAAAGACTTGACCAATATAAGAGTCTCATCCATGTCCCAAATATACACATTCATTTTCTGATCCATAATTGATAG